TAATTTTGCGTAACTTTATAATATGTTATGAGTGGGAGTAATAATCTGGAAACTATCAAAAATGGAGTGGACTGCCCTATTTTCCTGACCCTCTGGTCAAGTCGATTTTCAAGATTATGAGAGACATAAACTGGTGACCCAAGCACGTGCAGTTGCTGTGTGGAAAGAAAAATTTGAAAATTTCGCATACGCAATGTTGACCTGGGTCACATGCCGTGTGCTGTGGCAATATTGGGCATTCCAGCCGGCCATCCATCAAACAAACGGCGGGAAAATGTCAACAGTATCTAGAGTGCCCCATTTTTAAATTGGAACTGCTACTTCAGCACTTCTAACTTTTCCAAATGTTAAGAAAATTTGAGAATTATGATACTTACCATTTAATAATTTTTAATGAAACATTTTCTTTTTTCCGATTAACAAAGTATTTTCCATTTGTGTTGGCAAGGCGAATTACTTCTTTATAGCTTCTCGGTAAAGTAGGACTATATCGCTAGCTTCTTCTCCCTTTAGTCCTGTTAAAAACAAAAAGAAAACCAAACAATACCCCTGCTAACGGAAATTGCTGAACAATACCAGGAAATGTAACACGCACACACTCAATTACATGCCACACACGAGCAAACACACCCACACACACAGGCACCAACACGGTCGCAGGCCAGACAGGCGGCAACTGTGTTGGTAGCACAATCCACAATCCACATTACGTATACGCAGCGAATGCTCGAGTTGAGTTGAGTTGACTTGCGGCATGTTGACAACACTTTGCAATTGGGTTAATTGTCCATCGACGCGCTTTTCGACGAGCCCTCCTCCTGCCAAGTGGAAAATGTGTGAGCCCAGTGCTTTTTAAATACGGGTCAATGCATTGGGCCAAACTGGGATTGGGGTGGTTTAATGTTTAAGATTTTATAATTTTCTTTCAAAAATGTTTAAGAATTCAAACGATATTTTAAGAACTTGCATTAAATATTAAGTTTTTGATGAATATAAAACTCTTTATTACGCATGAATAAAAGTTATTAAAAGTAAGTAATAAAATTGCAGTTTACTCGCTAAATTATAAATTAAAATCAAAAACTCCTACAAAAAATTGATTTTTTGCGACAAATTTCTTGATGTATTTATTAGGTTGAATAATTTCAATTTCAGTTTGGACTAAAGTGAACCTTATACTCACCTAATTTATGTACTTTAGCAGAAAGGCGTTTAAAAACAATTTAAACTATAACCATTCTATACATCAAAGTCAATGGTAATGTTTGGTTATAAATTTTACTGATTTTTAATTATTTACATGTGTTTGACTTCTTTAAAATGTGCGTATTAAATTGTTGGACAATAATTTGCAATTTTACACCCACACAAACGGTTTTATTTTTCCTATAGTTTTTCGCTTAAAATCAATTTAATTTCAACGCGCCCAATATGGGACCTAAAACCATCAAGTGTTAAGCAAATATCGATGGAAATGTTTATTTGGGAAATAGAATTTTCCCAATAGGAAATATAGCTGTTGTGTGAAAAGTTAAAGCAGCGCCCGCGGACACTTGATTTATTAATCAATTATGTGGCATTAAACATTTACTTAACCTATTTAATGCTGATTACGCTCGGCAATTAAATGTTAATTAACATGTTATACTTGCTGTAGACTTTTTGTTTGCCTTGCCAGCGAAATAATAATAAATTAAAATTCATTTAATAAGGTTGCCAATTTGCATAGTTAATGCATTCGCAATATACCATACCCACTGGCCTAAAATCTGGGTGCAATAATAACGTCATACGCCTCATTTTGTCGCCCAAATACGCCTTATAACGCGACGGAAGTAATTTAAAACGCATTTAAACGGCTGATTTTGCAAAAACATACAATGGGTGGAAGGGAAAGGGTAAATTCAAGAGAGGCATTGCAAGAGCAATGGCATACGCCGCTTGTAATTTGCATCCAGCTCGTGCATGTAATTTAAAATGAATTAATGAACCGAGGAAAATATACAAAGAAACAAGCCGAAGGAAAGCGTTAAGGGAGGAAATCCGAGGTGCTGAGGGAACGTTTATATTTGACACATAAATTACAGGAAGGAAGTTGCACTCGACTTCAGGCAGCGCTGAAAATGTTTATATTATGCGAGTCCTTTTATTAATTTTGATAATATTTATAGAGCTTTTGAACTGGTTTTAATTTTTAATACATTTTATGAACAAGAATTCTAATATTATCATGCACACGCCATTCCACACCCTCACTTTTCGCTACGCCTGCTGTCAAATATAGTCCTTAAATGGTCTTTCAGATACCATTAGCCGGTCCCATAATTGTCGGTTCACTCCTCAGCAGCTGACCAACATTAAAAGTTTTTACTGTCCAACTCTAATGGCTGTAAAAAAAACGACGAGCGTCCTGAAAAAGGGAACATGGGATGAAGGCAAGCCAACATTTATGACGGCATTTTCATGCTCATATGAACAATCCTTGGCAGATCTGGGCAAATTTTTTAGCCTTTCAAATTTTATGGCTTGGCATTAAATTGACGCCAAATGGCGGAGACAGCCAGCGGAAGGGAGGGGAAAATATTAATTTTCCCCGGTTTGAGGGGCGGATCCTTCGGCCCCAACTCCTTCTGCCACATCAATTTAATGTGCTCCAGCTAATTTGCTTTTTATTAAGAGATGCCCAAGCATTCGCCACCAAGCAGACTCAATAGCTGCAGGGAGGCGTTGGGTGAGCAGATGGGCGTGGCCGAGGAGCAGGCGTGCGGGAGATGGCAGATTGCATGTCCTGCGAAGATCCTTGCTCGCCTACCGTAGACAAACAGCGTGCACAGCATTTACAGCTCACGGTTTATTATGCTGTAAATAATGTAAATAAAAAGAAAGGCAAACAGGTAACGGGAAACTACAAGGGGCTACCCTGGAAAATAATCTACCTTCTGGCAAGAAAAATAACTTGGTTTAATGAAAAATCAAAAACGTTAAAAAAATACTGACATCGAAAAAATTTAGTAAACATTTTTGTTAATTGTTTGGGACTATACAAAGGACATCTGTAAAAATCAAAGGAAAATACATTATAGAAAACTTATGGAATTGTTTTTAGTTTTTAACCATACGTTTACAATCAAGAAATGATTAAAATACAATTTTAATATGAAAAAAAGGAGTTTATTAATGTACAGGGTATTAATTTCTACATGAACATTAAAGAAAAAACGACAGAGACAGCAATTCAATCCGAGTCAGTCAACAGCATTCCTCGGCATCCCCCATTTTATCGCCTCTATCCTCCATTTTTTAATGCAGTTTCCGGTGCTGCAGCAGTCGCCGTGTTCTGCAGTTAAAACATTTAAAACGTATATAAATCGGGAATTTATGGAGGAAAAGCCAAAGTGGCTTTAAAAATTAACAGCATTAATAAACTGCGTAAGCTGTTTTAAAAGGAATAATAAATAAAGACAAACAAAATGACCGCAGTGGTTAATTAATAACATTAGCGGGATTAAACAGTAAACTCCGTTGAAAGGATTGCCAATGATTGATTATCCATGCAAATTGAATGAAAGGATAGAGCGAAGAAAAGCGACAGAGCTGTTGATTGCATTCCAGCTCATTTTAAAGTAATTAAAGAACCCATGACTTGTCATATGAAATTCAATTCAGAAACCCTGACTTGGCATATGAAATTAAATTCAGTAAATGAAAAGATGGTTACCCAGCGGGAACATTCCTCTGGAAAATAACATATTTTCAAGAGGTTTCTCCATACAAGCGGAAGGGACAAAACCTCATTCACTCCTTACATTTCTTCCGTCTCTGGTTTCAAAATACACGGGGGTGACACAAAAAGTAAGGGGGAAATGAGGTTTCTATGTGGTTTTCCTAGGGAATTTACATTTTCCCTACACCGTCGCCTGCTGAAAGAAACAGGATTTCCAACACTTTCTGCTAAAAGGAACAGGATTTTCAGCACACAAAGAACCACCTTCTCACTTTCCCGGTGGGTAGTGACCAATAAAATACAAAATAAATTTTTTTCCATAAATTGTCAAACGTTTTCATTTTAAAATATTATAATAAAAAAAATAATACCTATATAAAAAAATAGTATTTTAGTTGTATGAACTGTGTTAAATAAAAATTCGCATACATCGGTCAATTAAAAATATTTCAACAATAATTCTGACTTTATTTGAGCGAACCTAAGATGTAATTATCTTCAGGTATCAAGGCAACACCCTTCCATCCCCTTGGAAACTGGCGCAAACAAAGACGCCGCCGAATAGATTATGGCCAATTATTTATTTGGAAACCAAATGCATGGGAGAGCATTTCAAAGCGTTGACGTCACGGAACCAGAATACAGCGAAAAAAATTGCATTGACACTTTCATAAATCGACGGCTGACTTATTACCGATAATTGGTTTGGATTGTTATTGCCTGGCCATCGTATTTATTTATTTTCGTGCTTCGCTCCAGCCGACGCACCCAATTTGTTTATAAACAAATGCGCAGCAGACATAAAAGCGGGCACCACAAAATGAAAAGCCAAAGAACGATCAACATGAAACGCTCGGAATTGCGGGCATTAAAAAACCATTAGCATAAAAACTAATATTAAATATTATAAACACCATGGGCTGGAAATAAACGCAGTGGGGCGCCGACTTTTAGTATTTAGTATGGAAGGGATACATACAATTCAACGGCACTGTTCGCTAACAGGGCCAAGCAAACAGGTAAGCTGTTGGCCAGAAGACCACCCACATGGCCATGTTAAGTGCTAACAGACCACTGGAATTTATTTTCGGAATCAGCTAACATTTCGGTAGCCGAGGAAAAGGTAGATATACATATGGCCTAGAGATACACGAATCCAACTTCGGAGAAACAGCTGTTCGGCTGCTGCCTTTTAGCCACTCAATGGGCCATCATCATCATCGTATTTGATGTTAGGCACTGAATTTCTTCGGCGGCTTCAGTCGTTGCCTGTCAACAAAGCGCTCCGAACGTGCCCAAAAGCCTTGCTCCTCAAAATTAAATGAAGAACTTGAAGTCATACGCGTGATGGACTAAAGAACTTGTCTATTTCTTCTTCAAATTTGGTGCTAAGTGAAAAAAATTACAAGACAAGGGAAACATTTCAAAAAACTCTCTTAAACATATTTAATATTTAAATCAAAGCTTCATCAACAAAACAAAATCTTAATCAAGAAGGAATAACTTATTAATATTAAATAAACCAACAAATACGCCGAAATCGCACATCAAAGAAAGTGTTCTCTTACCCCGAAATAATCTTTACAAATATACCAAAAAAGAAAACTGCCAAAAAACGCAATTTTGTCAAGGTAAATATTATTTCTGCCATATCGTACTATAAATCTCCCTTAAAATGAACTCAATGGAACTGCTCTTTCTGGTTCGGTACATAAACACAAGTAACGGTACCCCTAAGCCAGAATAAGAAATACAAAAAAAAAAACACAGAAAAACAACCAGAATAAAACAAAAAGTGTCAAATTTATGCGAAGCGGTAAAAGACGACAGCCGAAAATTTATATGGCTTATGAGTTGAGTCGAGTCGAGTTGAGCTGAGCTGAAGGATGGAAACCTTTCCATCTGCTCTCTGTGTGTGTGCGTGTGTTTTAACCTCAAGGATTTTTTATTTGCCTGTGGAAATGCTTTGAAATGCGGCAGAATTGTTGAATTGTTTTGTTTGCGTGGGTGTCAACTTGTTTGTTCTCGTAATTGTGTTGTAAACATATTTTGTATTCGCATTTTGGACCACTTCCTATGGGCGCAATAAATTCAGGAATCGTCAGGGCTTGATGACCAAATAACATTTGGAAGTTATGGTAATCACAAGATAGATAAAATGTTCCCACTGCTAGTTTGAAAAGCCAGGCCTAAAGATACAATTATAAAATGCTCAGCAGAATAATGATGATAGATTTGACTAACAGATGTTTAGTTTGTAAAATAAATTTTATTTAAAAATGTGTGCTTATATTTCAGTAGGGCTGGAGATACATTTTTATGAATTTGTGATTTTACAAAATTAAAAAATTAGAATAAATCTCTATATACTTTAAATTGATTAAAATCCACGAAAATATACATAACTTAACCAGCAGAAGAAAATTTAGTAAGGCATATAAAGCGTCTAAGAACTTTTGTTTAACTTCATAGAATATTTTTATTAATTCGTTATTTATAAATTTCATGAAAAGCTTTCCAAATTATCCCTCTTTATCAAATAAAAAGATTTTATTTTTGTCCTCTGACAATGAGCTTAAGTCCAGAGCTTAAGGCTAAAATCTTGTTAAATCAAAATATGCCAAAGGACATATAATATTAAAGAGCAAAGTGTGCACAGTCGAGGCGGCCAAGATGAAAAAGCAAAGCCTTAAAGACCGGGCCAAGTAGATTTTTGCCTTTGTTCCGCATGTCTTGATATTCGTGACGAAGAATGGATGAGGCGGAAGAAAAGGGAAGAGGAGCGCTCAAGTCGTATATAAAATGTCATAAAAGTCCCTCACTTACAGTATGCGACATAAAAATAGTCGAGCTGAGCGATCAAGACTTAATCGAGATTTTAAATGAGTCTAGACCACAATACGCTTTGGAATCAGAAACTATACATATTTTAATACATTTTATTTTATAATTCAATTAAAATAGTTTTTAGTTTGTAAAATTAACTATATGCTTTATGCTTTATCCACGCACTGTACGCAACTGCATTATGTAGGTGGTTGGCATATATTGGCAGGCAAGGACTTTATGTGCCAGTAAAATGGTTCGCCAAATTTGTCAAGGAACCCGTAGGACGACGCGGCCTTCCTCCACATATGCTGCACCCATAAGGGCAGATGGAATTCCAGATTCTTGCTGGTGATAGTACAACTGCAAGTGAAAGTTTGACTGCAGGGGCTGTCAGAGCGAAATGCAGCATACTTCCAGGGGCAGACTGCCAAATATTTAACTGTGTGCCATTTTCGGAAGGGGAAACGCTTCGAGTGTGGCCCATTTTTCTCCCGTTTTAACAATGCAACATCAAGACAAAAAAGCTAAATTAATAAACTACCACAGAGGGTGCTGCTGGGTGCGAAAATGGAAGGGAGACCTCCTTTGGAGACCGCAAACTGAATGCAGATAATTAAATGTAATTACGTAATGTGCTTGTATTGTGGTCCTTTTGCGTCCATCTACATGTCCGTGCACTTGGCTTTGCTTGTGTGAGTAATTACGTGCTTATTGCCAACAATAGGAGCCAGAACAACAACAAACACGAGCAAACCACCCCGGACACACAATATCGCAGCTATCTAAACCTATGAGATACTAATAAGTCGAAATTGTAATACTCTTGAAAGTTTTAAAACTTTCTAAAAAAAATGTTCTTACGTTACAATCGATGTTTTAAATTAAATGCTATTATAATGCATTTCAAAATGTTTAAGAATTAATGGGAATCAAATTTAAAAAAAAATTTCACGGGAAATAGTCAACTAGTTATTGTTAATAATAGTAGGAAAACAGCCACGAACTAAGTTTACTTAAAATACTGCGATATTCTGTTCCATTTTACTTAAAATCAATCATATTTAACACTTATTCTCATTAATTTTTGTTTTGCTCTTCCAAATTATATTGAAACGATTCATCATCATCATCTGATCATCATTGCAACAGATTGAATTATTTTGGTTTAAAAATAAAATGACATGCCTTCACTCCTGATGCTCAACTTTAGTCGCGAAAACAAAAATTCATGTGAAAAAACAAATTAAGTTCATCAGAATCGCACGGACTCGCTCAGAATAAAAGTGTAATTAAGCTGCAACAACAATCAGGCAGAAGTATCTGTGTATGGGTGAATATATCTTTATTATGGCATAATGTGCTTCTGTTATTTGATAAGAGCTTATGACGATGACGCGCACGTTAGCCGGGGGCGAACCCCGCTTTTCTGGCCGCGCGGCGAAGTCAATAAAATGTAATTAAATCGACATTGTTATCAACGGCAGACCAACAAACACAGACAGACCCCCACTAACACAACGGCGATATCTGTGCATTAATTTCAACAAAAACAGAGGGAAATGGCTCCAGACCTTACGACTAAAAGATACCTGATAATTTGCTTAAATATCAAAATATCAGTATTTTATTAATATGTTTCAAATAAAATGGAAATTATATTTTTTATACCACATAAAATTCTTATTAGTATGCAAAGTATTACTAAATAAACATTTCAAGCAATTTTAAATTACTAAGATTGAAACTTAAATATTTATCATTATTTTATTAATTGGTAAAAACAGTAAGCAGTTTTTGTACGTCAGAACTAAGGGGTAATACACAAGTTTCTATCTAACCACAATATTCCCTGTATTGATAGTCAAATTTCGGCTATTGTTTCAATTATTGTTTTTGTTGGTTTATTGGTTGTTATTGCTAGTGTATAACAATTGAACGTAAATAACATTAGCACCCGCACTGTTGTTCTTTGTTAGAATAAATAAAATTTGCAATTTTCTTTGTTGGTCGCCGACTTTTTTGGCCAACTTAAACACAAACACTCACAATCGCCGGCTAAAACTCGGTTAGAAATTCTAATAGAATTTAAATTGGATTTAATAGTTGATCAACCAAATGGCCAAACATTGGCCCAGTTGATATATCCTGTTTTACCTTGAAAATGTACTTAGGCCCAAGACCGGCCTAGACAAACAAATGAAGAAATCCGAAAGAAAGACGGAAAAAACGGGTGGAATCAACTTTTCTTAAACTCTTATAAATCTATTAAAACTTTTACCATAGAAAAATACCCCTAAGAAACTTCCCACTTCAAAAGGTTACCAGAAGCAGATAATGAGCTCAAAAATTGAGCCAAATTGGAAAAAGGAAAAGTTTTCCAGCAAAGCAGCCGCAAACCAAATTAATTTCTCAGTGAATTCGTCAATGGGGGAAATCGAATAAAATTTCCGAACTAATTGTGCCATGGGAGAACTGTTAAAAAAACTGCAACAAAATGTGAAAACTTTTACGGGAAAGAGGCCGCCCGAAAGCTAAATAAAGTTGGCCGGAACATAAAATAGGGCCGAACTCTGAATTCTATTCAAATTTCGTTCACGACCTTTTAAGTTGTTTATCGCCACTTGAACTGCCCTCTATCTATATCTCGCTTTGCCCTTCTGAAGCGCTTCCACTTTGATTTATAATTTTGTCGGGTTGCCTTGGCCATTGAAATTTATCAAGTGCTATCATTTGGCCTTTTCCTCAAACGCTTTTAATTGAAATTTCTGCCAAAGGTGGTCCTCAAAGCAGTTGAAAAAGTCCAACCCGAACGGAAGGAAAACACGGAAAAGGGATCAAGAAAAGCGAAATGGCCTCAATGAGCTGAGATGAAATTAAAAGTTTTTCTTGGCTGGCAATTTAATAATTTAAATGAGCCGCCAATTGCGCACTGCGGGGTGGGTAATAAATTAAACGAGACTAATTGATACTCTCTCAAGGTCGAGGAATTGTGTAAAATGGCAGGCGAATTGAGGACTTAAAGTATTCTTTTAGTAATTGACCACACAAAAAAACTAGAGAGAACGTTAGAGTCGGGTTCGTGCCCCGACTATCTAATACCCGTCACTCAGCTAAAGGGAGTGCGAGGGAGAAGGATATATAACCTTTTTTTTTGATCACGCATAACTTTTTAACGAATGGTCCGATTTGAAAAATTTCTTCTACATTTCGATAGGTATTGATAAACACAATAAAACTGCATTTTTACTTTTCCAAAATATTAAAATTTTTAAAATCGTATATAAGCGATTGTGGGCGTTAGAGGGGGCGTGGCACCATTTTGAAACAAACTTGCGCTGCGTAGGAACTCCTAAAATCTGCATGCAAATTGCCAATCCTCTAGCTTTTATAGTTTCCGAGATCTCAGCGTTCATACAGACAGACAGACGGACAGACGGACAGACAGACGGACATGGCTAGACCGACTCGGCTAGGGACCCTGATCAAGAATATATATACTTTATAGGGTCGGAAACGCTTCCTTCTCTCTGTTACATACTTTTGCACGAATACAAAATACCCTTTTACTCTACGAGTACGGGTATTAAAACACGTCGCGGTCAAATCGATCATCGTTTCATATCAAGTCTTTTTTTGGTTCAAAAGTAAAGAAATATATCCTGTGACTCCCGATCCTTGCCCTATCGAGTAGTAAGCTCTTTAATTTTGTGGCTGCTATCAATCAGGTGAAGTGAGCAGGACCAACGGCCACGGATGAGCACCTCAATTGCATTTCGCAATTACCCAAGCAGGGGCATTGCCA